CCACGCAAGAATCAGGACAGTATCCAGTGGCACTCATGGATTACAACCCCTATCACAGTCTCTGGACAAGTCTCTATCCCAGAACCAGGGAAGGCTGGAGGGAGGGCTGGAGGGTGGACCTTAGGATCCCTCAGGGGCATTCCCTCAGTAGAGCTTGCTGAAACTTTGCACACACTCCCTCCAGCTCTCAGCCCACCCCCCTCCTTTGTCCTAGCTGACACTTTGGGTTGCACTTTGGGCTGCAGGCTGATGGAGCCCCTCCTGAGCCCCTCCTCCTCGTGGCCTTCCCTGGTCAAAGGCTCAGCAGGGCTCCTTGCAGCCCACTAATTAGGGCGGCCCAGCCACACCTGCAGCGTCCTGGGAGCAGGCTGAGTCAGATTCACCCATGCGTGAGACCAGGGTGGGGGCAAGCTGGGGGCAGCAGGTCCTGCACTTCCTTCCTGATCCCTGCCCACCCCACTAGAGGGATTAGGGGAGGAAGGGCAGGGACTGGAAACTTGAATTCTTAAAATCAGCCCCCAAGATCCTGCCTGTTAAGAGGAGCTCGGTGTCACCTCCCTGGTTTTTCAATGGTGGAAACTGAGGCAGGTGACAAACTCAGCGCTTTGGCACTCAAACCCCTGGATGAGCTCACCTGGCTCCATCTCTCCAGCCTGGGCTGCCAGCAAGCTGGGCTACCTTCCCTCCCTGCCCCTCCCCAATCCCAGCCAGCATCTTTGGCTCCACTTGAGACAAAGCCTCCTCGCCCAACTCTAGTTCCAACTTGGGGAGCAACTCTAGTTCCAAGGGAGGCAGGGGAGGATCCCCTCCCCCAGGGTAGATATTATTAGGGTATACTTGCTATCCCGACTCTACCCCATCCCTCCTTTCAGGTCCATCCCCCTCCTTCAGCCACTGCTGGGAAATCACCCTCTTGCCTTGGGCTCTTTGTCCAACTCCTCCAGGAAGCTTTCTAAACTCACCCTCTGGGCCAGGAGCCAGCTGCTCCTGTCCCCTGGCCCTCTACCTCAAACCCCCACCACCCCTTGGGCCCCAGCTCTCCTTTTAAGGTCTGTCTCTGCACTAAATTAGAGTCTTTGGTAGAATGCAAAAAGAACACAGAGCAGAAAGTAGCAGCTGGAGGGCCCCCCAGGTAAATCCAAGCCTCCCTGGCCCCACCCTAATCCACCACCCCCAGGGAGAAACCCCTCGGGCACCTGAGGAGGAAGGTGGAGAATTGGAGCAGCTGCAGAGGAATCCTGCCTGCCCTGGGGCGGCAGGGTGTCAGGACTGGGCCTGGGCTGGCCCCTGTGTATATCCTGTAAGGAGGCTGGTGTGCAGCAAAAAGCAAGCACCTTAATGTAGAGGGGCTCCCTGGTATTGACCCTTGTTTATGAGCAAGCTGTTGGATGCAAACCCGTTTGCCTGGATGGGGAACATGGGGCAATGCTACCGCTGGGTTCTAGCCAGAGTCAGATCTCCATGTTTCCCTCTGCCAGAGCTTGTCGACTATAAATAAGGGGCTTTCTAGGAGGAGACTGCTGGGACGGGGGCGGGGGGGGGGGTGCTGTGGTGAGCTCGTACCCTGTGGGCTCCCAGGGAGGAGGAAAGCAGAGCAAACAGGTCTGGCTCTGGACCCCTCACCACTCAAGCACCCCAGCAGCTCATCTGTTGCACAGGAAGAAGGGGGTGGGAGGGGAGGAGGCAGCAGGGGTGGCTGTCACACGTGGCTGAACAAGTGTCACACAAGTGTGTTCAGTTCTCTGGACCAAAGTGGGGGGCGACTGTCACTGCTTATCTGGGCTTGGGTGACCCTAGCTTTGAAGTCTCACAACTGAGTAGAAGTGACAAAATAGAACTCACTTCAAAAGGGAGACCAGAAATGCAGTGAATACAAGGTGCTGAAGGGTTCCTACAGCTTTGCAGGAGGGGAGACTCTGCACCTCCACAGGGCAGGGCCTCCTTGATAAACCCAACCTGGCTCGCTTTCAGTTTCTCCAGAGATGGAATGTACCCAGCCCCTCATGCCTGCCCCACCTGTTCCCATGCACCCCCAGGTCTGCTCACGCTGCGCTGGCTGTTCTCTGTGAGCAGCGCCCCACCACTATAAGCCCTCTCACGTCTCCTCCCCCACCTCCCCACATGCTGGACTTCACGTCTGCAGAGGGAGGGCATTCGGCTGCTTGGTCAGCTTGTCCCTGTACCCTCCTTCTTAGCAGCCTCTGGCTCTGCTTGGCTGGTGCCGGCCAAGCCGGTTTATTCCAGGGAACTGGGCTGTTTAGAATTTGAGAATTTAAGATTTCATCAGGCCAGAGAAAGTGTCCTTGGACAAGGAGAGAGGGGGGAAGGGGAAGAGCAAACTCCTTTCGGTTTGGGGCCTTTTGGGGGTCCTCTGCCGCGGACATCTGAATTTGGCCCACCCCTGTAAGGCAGGCTCTGCAGCCGCTCTGGGGACACCCTCTCTGAAGCCTACCGGGGAGCACTGTGGACACACATCTCACACCTTGCCCTCCCCCAACTGCTCAGACACAGATATGTGCCTTCACCCAAGCCACATGCCCATCCCTGCTGTCCCCACCAGCACACACACATTCACCTCACCCTATGTGTAAAAGCATGCATCACACATTTCCCCACTCTGACCACATGTGTGCATGTAACACACCCACACCCAAGCCCTCCCCTGGTTATACACAGAGGCCCTGCCCTGGGACACACCTGCCAGGGTGCCCACTGACATACTTACACAATGTCCCGCATTTCCCATCTTGAGAAAGCAGACTGTTGCTCCCGCCTCCCCCCCAGAACCCTTGATCATATGTTTCCTCAAGCTGAGTGTCTGGTGCAGACACGAAAATTCTCCAGACACACACACATTGCCACAGGAGCATGCACATATGCACACCTTCGGGGGGAGCTGGGGGCTCCTCTGGACTTGGGGCCTTAGTACAGGGTTAGGGTGACAACAGGAAGGTTTCTGCCGCTACTGCAGTGCCCACTTCTCTGGGGTTGCCATGGCTGGGGATTCCCCCACCCTTAGGTTCAGAGTTGGCCCCTTGTCTGGGCAGTCCACTGCACCACTCCGCTGGACCTAGACCCCCAGGCCGCCCAGGTCTTGGGTCCTCCTCGTTCCCTGAGGTTAAGAAGCAGGGCTGGGGTTCCAGCAGCCACCCCAACCTCACCCGCTAAGGGTAGTACTCACTGACACGAGGGTGGGTGATGTAGTTTCTGGTGACCGCCTGCATGTGCTCTCGGGCTGCGCCCAGGTCGCAGCCATTGCTGGGGAGCCCCTCAAGCCTACTGTCTACCCTCGTGGCCATAGCGAGGTCACGGGCTTGGAGCTGAGTGTCTGAGTCCCCCGGCTGCTGCAGGGTAACCTCCAGCTGGAGCTGGAGAGAGCCGACAGACCTGCCCCTGTGGCCGCACCTCCCTCCCCCGCCTTCCTCCCGGAGTTGACAGTAAACAGGGAAACTCCTGCTCTGGAGCTCATCCAGATCTGGGAGGGGCCCTGCCCTAGGCCACAAGGGATCTGGAGGATAGGGGAGGGGAAGGGAGAGCAGGCTAAAGCTAGTTCTGGCTTTTGTCCTTGGCTGATCCTGGCCCCCAGCTTGCACCGCCTGTAAATCCTCCCCCTGGTACTGTGGGTGCTTCCCACAGCCGGTGCCACTACAGAGCCAGCTCTTGGAGGCCCTCTCAGGTCTCCTCTCCTCCCCCCCACACACATCTTGGACCTCACTGCATCTCTTCCTGGGCTCCCCCATGCCCAGGTTCTGGTAGACTGTTCTCCTCAAATCTTCTCACTGTTCTCCAAGTCTGCCTTCACCCTGAACCCCTTTTCCTGACCATACGGGCTACTTCTTTCCCTGCACGTTTCCATTATCATCTTTTTTGGGACATCTTCTGTGGATCATTCTTGGGCCAGTTTCTTGCCCCCTCCTGTAGGAGCCCTCCAGCACCTGTATTCTCTGCACTTCTGGTCTCCTTTGTGACACCTTTTTCGTGAGTTCTTTTTTGTCACTTCTACTGAGTTGTGAGATTTCAAGTGCTCACCCTGTGTTTCCTCCCTCACACTTGGATCTTGGGTCTCATGCCTTCCTGTCTCCTAATATTGAGAGCAACCTGAGAACCAGAGCAGGGTCCATCTGAATTTAGGACCCTGTCTCACATTCCTGAGTTTCATCACCAGGGTCCCAGGGGCCCCCTGGCTCTGCATTTTCAGCAGGGGAGAAAGTACAAATGGAGAAATCCTCTCCATGCCCAGTGGCTCATGGGCTTGCCTTCTCCCAGGGTGGGGGAGTGTGGCACAGGTCTACAGAACAAAACAGGGTGGACAACCCACGGTCTGCCCAGGGCATCCCCATGTCTCATTCCAGACTTAGGATTTCTGGGCCTCTCTAAGCACATCCCCAAACTAATGGAGTGGGGGTGGAGTTGGGGGGGGCAGTAGAGGGAAGAGAGGGAGCATGGGTGTCTGTTGGATCCTCTGAGTGACTGAAGGCAGCCAATTTGAAACCAAATATGTGTTTCCCAGAGCAGCGCAGCCAATCTGAAACCAAATATGTTTCCCAGAGCAGACAGGTGCACACCACTCTTCCCTTCTCTCCCCAGAGTGGAAATCTCACCCTGGGTCCTCCCCTGCGCACTGAGATCAGTTCTGTGGGGCCTTGTTCACAATTCCCAGTCTTTCAAGAATGCTGTTAAGTGAGGGTGGCATGGGTGTGACTCTGCAGGAGAGGCACGGGGACCTCTCTAGCGATGACAGTTCCCTGTGTTGACTGCAGTGGTGGTTCCAGGCATCTCACCCACGTGACACAATGGGACTACCCACAACACATGGTACCCAAGTCAGTTCCTGATGTTGATACACTAGGGTTCCAGAAGACGCAACCACTGCGGGAGACCAGGTGCAGGGTACAGGATTCTCTGGACTACCTTGGCTTATAGGAATAAGCCTACAGTGACTGAAAAATACATAATGAAATAAAAGTGGCTTGCTTGAGCAAAAAAAAAAATGCTTTTAATTGTTTCTAGTGGTTGCCCTTGGAAGGCAGGTCCTCTAATGCATGTGGGGTCTGGCCGGTTTACCTTTGATGCCTTCCTCTGGCTCTCTGGGTCCTGCCCTCCCCTTTCATCATCCACCCTCTCCAAGGACTTCACGTTCCCCCACTCAAATAGTTTAAGGTTGGAAACAGGAACTTGCAAAAGTCATTGCTTAACCAACAAACGTGAACCCAGATGGGAGCTCTAAGTGAGAGTGGGAGCCAGGTGCTTGATAACCCATGTCTGAGGTTCCATATCCCCCCTGGAACTGGAAACATGGTCCCAGCTTCTGCCCCCAATGATCAGAGGTCCCCCTGACCTCAGCCCAGTTACCTTCCAGTGAGGAGAGGGGGACAGAGGGTTGAGGGGCAGTGGCAGTGCTTTGGGGACTCCATTTCCCTTCTTGTGATCTTTTTCCTTTTATTTCAGGGAGAGGTGCACTCACACTGCACTCACACACAGGCTGCAGGACAAGGCCATCTGGTCAGTCTCTGAGCTGGGGGTGGGAGGCAGGACACGAGGCTGCCTCCCCTCCACTGGGGTCTGCTCAGGGCAGTCCAGTGGGGGGCAGGAGGCGGGGGTGGTGCTATGTGGGGACTCCATATCACATGTGGGTGGAGGCTTAAGCATTAGCTTTCTTGCTGCCGCAGGGGCTGTCTTTTCCCCACTCTAGCCGGCTGTAGGGCTCAAAGGCTGAGGAGCCCAGTTCGTAGCCGGTAGCCATGTCCAGGAGCGGGGCAGTGGAAAGGCAGAGGGCTGGTGGAAGGGGCTGCAGTGGGGGTGACCCTGAGGCCAAGGTGAACAGGCTGAGGCACGGGGAGGAGTTCCTGGGGTCATTCATGGGGGTGCCCCTGTGGTCAGCAGGCAGGCCCGGTGGGCTGGGGATTAGTGCCAGGAGGCTGGGGGCCCTGGGCACGGACAGCAGCCGGCCCTGCTCCAGCAGCCGCAGGATGTTGGAGGTGGCGAAGGCCTTGGAGGCCGAGGAGGACGCCAGCTTCTCCAGGTCTCTGCTCCGGTCTTTCTTCTGCTTGGTGCGGCGGTTCTGGAACCAGACCTTCACCTTGGGGCAGAGGGTGGAAAGTGGGTCAGAAGGGACAGGGGACAGGCAAAGCAAAGTAGGGGGAGGTGGGAGGAAACAAGGAGAGGAAGGGCATGGGGGCACAGAGGAGTGGAGGCGCAGGGGTGGAGTGAGAGGGGAAAGAAGAACAATCCGATGGTCATTTAGGCCCTCCCACAAGCTCTAATTGTGTCTGAGTGAACTGATAAAGGGGCCCTGTTCCCCCAAGTCATGGGCACCCCTCCACTGCTAAGCTGACCCTGGGCAAGGATGCAGAATGGATTGGCAGAATGGCATTTGAAGCTCCCCTCTTTACCCACATACTTTCTACTCTTAGCCGATTCCCCCCTCCTCATGGTGTCCCCACACTGTCTCTGAGGGGAGTTCTCGAACCCAATTTGGTCATTTCCCTGTTGGAAATTTTCAGCAACCTCCTCCAATCTCATTATCTGTAAGGTCCAGGCTTCTCAACGAGATTCCACTGTAAGAGGATGTGGCAAGATGTTGAGGGGAACTTCCAAACGCCACACACTCAAAACTGGGCACAAAGTGGTGCCAAATACCCACATCCTAAACAGAGTCCTCAACAGAAGAGCAGAGACCATCTTCAAGATCTCTGAAAGGAGGTGGAACTGGCCTTCTCCTGCCACCCAGTGCCAGTGTTCCAACCCAGTCCTAATCTTTGGGAGAAAGGGCAGTTGGGGGAAACCAGTGTCAGTACACGGGGATCCCTGCTGGTAACAGGGAATTTCCCCCTTTTTCTGAGAGGGAGAGGGTCCTCCCCCCCTCCTCCCCACAGAAGGGAAGTCAGGAGGTCCTGGAAGAAACACTCGTAGGGATTGCAAGTGCCTGCAAGGAAAGATGACAGTTGCTCCCCAGCTGCAAACCTTGCCCAGACACAGCATCTGCAGACCCGTGTCCCTGGTGCCACCATTGCAAAACCCAGACTTATGTCCCCAGGAGCACATAGGCTGGCCCTGCTACTGGTCTGGAGGTGTCAGGAGGCTGACAGTGGCAGGGTCAGTGTGTGACTGCAGGTTGAGCAGAGACTGGTGAGGACCTGGAAAGAAAAGGCTGGAGATACCTAGCTGGTCCTCCCTAACTTTTGGAGGCCCTAAGGGAGGATACGATCCCTGTGAAGCTGAGCATCCCTGCAGGAGCAACCACCTGCAGAAAGACCTGCCAGCCAGTGTGTGTCAGGAGAGCCCTCCTCACACTAGAAAGTACCCAGTGATTTAAAAAGATATACCTCTGGCCTCCAACCCTGGGGGAGGTAGCTTGGAGAGGGGGCAGGTGACTCAGACAGATCACACACCCTCCCAGACATTACAAGGGGAGGTGTTGGAGACCGCAGACTGGGTTTCCTCCCCTGCAGCCTCCCCCAGCAGTGAGTTGGGCTGTTCTCAGTGGGGGAGAGAAGATGAGATTTGAAAAAGATGTGAGTTTGGTTCTTTAAATGGGATTGGATTGTTTCAATAACCAAAAGTGACCAGAGAATTTCAGGATCTACTCGAGACTGATTGCTTCATTCATTCATTCACTCACTCACTCACACACTCACTCATTCATTCATTCATTCAACAGATATGTGTTCAATGCCCACTATGTGCTGGGTGCTGTTCTAGGCTCAGGGAATCAGCAAAGAAAACAAGCGGAGCTAATCCTCACTGTAGGGAGTGGACAGTTTGGAGGGAGAGACAGGTGACCAACAGCAGATGAACACACAGGCCTGGCTGTTGGGTGACAATAGGGATTGTGGACATGTCTCTCACATTAAAGTAGGAGGGGACAGGGGACACTTTTTAAAGTATCCAACCTGTTGTGTTTTGTAAAATACAATTAAAATGAATTTCAGTTGACTCTGGAATATGGATTTGAACTGTGGATTTGGGTTTGAAATCCATGGATTTTCTTATAAACAGACCATGTTGTTAACTTACATTCTTGATAAATACAATTCACTTGTGTAAATATATTTTCTCTTCCTTATGGTTTTCCTTTTTTTAATAAGGATTTATTTTTATTTATTTATGCATACAAGAACTGGGTTTAGGCCAGAGGTGTGGGGAGTGAGAGGATTTACCAGAGACAGAGTGGGGAACAGAACAGGTGGGTCCACTAAAATACACTGCTGAGGGAAGCAGCAGGCAGACAGGAGAGGCCTGCTGTGCCATGTGGGTTAGCTCCCTGGCCGACTGGGGATTGAACTCATGCTGCAGTGGCTGGTGATAGCTTGATAGTGCTGAGACATTAACCTCTATGCCACCAGGGAGGCCCTCTTATGATTTTCTTTTTTTTTTTTAAAGATTTATTTATTTATACAAGAACCAGGGTACAGTTCAGATGCACAGGAGGGTAAGAGGATTCACCAGAGACAGAGTGGGGAGCAGAACAGGCAGACTGACGAAATACACTGCTGAGGGGAGCAGCAGGCGAGACAGGAGAGGTCTGCTCGCCATTTGGGTTGCTCCGAGGCCGGTGGGGATTGAACCAGCACTGCAGAGGCTGCGGACAGCTTCATAGCACTGCACTCAACCACCTGTGCCACCAGGGAGGCCCTTCTTATGATTTTCTTAATAACACTTTCTTTTCTCTAGCTTACTCTAGTTTAAGAGTGCAGTATGTAATACACAGAATATACAAAATAAGTGTTCATCCACTGTTTATGTTATTGGTAAGGCTTCGGGTCAACAGGAGGCTATTAACGGCTAAGTTTTCAGTGATTCAGAGGTTACAATCACATTTTTTACTATGTGGGGAGTTGACTTCCCTAAACTCCAAGTTGTTAACTACACTGGAAAAATTCTGTATACATTTTTAATGTATACATGTATTCATTTCTAAACACATATTCTCCATTTCTGTTCTTGTCATGGACAAATAACAGTTTGTGAGGTACCAGACCAAGGACCACACACTGGGGGGCCCTGCTTTGGAGGACAGTGGCAAGATAAGGGGGGAGATGACCATCTTTTTAAGTGTGGCAAGCACAGCCTCTTTGAAGAGGTGACACTGAAGGGGTTATAAATAAGGGATGGTCAAGGAAGGTTTAACCAAGTCTGACTGAAGGAAGAAACTAGAAAGAAAAAAACCCTTATTTTTGTCACTGCCAGAATTTGTCTGCTCCACCAAACAAAACTACCAGATCCTTGGGGACCATACTCTGTATCTTGCTGCTTCCTTTTCCCCTACTGGAAAGGCTCCTCGATTTTGATTATCTGGCAGGTTAGTGCCCACTTTTCTGAGGACCTACGACCTCAGGCCAGGCACCACCTCCAAGAACCCCCAGGTCTCAGCTTTTCATCTTTAAAATGGGGGCTGTTGCAGGGATTAAATAAGGAAATCCTTGTAGAAAGCTTCTCAGGGTGGCAGCCACATTGGACGTGGGTCATGGTTTGCTGCTGGAAAGAGAGCACCTGGGGTCGCTGCTGAGGGTATGGTAGAGAGGAGCTCTCACTCACTCCCAGCAAAAGGAGACATTTTGTTGAGGAACAAAGGAGTGGCAGTCACAAGGGCCAGCAACGGGCTGGACCTTGGTGTGGGGGTTTCCCGGGAAGGTGGGCCTGGAAGGGGAGAGAAGGCAGAGGGCAGGTGAGCAGGGGCTAGGTGTGTCTGTTCGGTGGTGACTTAAGGACCAGCTCAGGGATTCTCAACTCTGGTTGCACTTTGGAATTACCTGGGGTGGTTTTTTTTCCTAAATCACAAGGACCATGCTTCATCCCAATCCATGACATCAGAATTCCTAGGGGCGGGGCCTAGGCACAGGCATTTTAAAGTTCTGGTGTTGCACACTAGGAGAGGGTGCTGGTGCTCTTTAAGGGGTGATTCATAAGGCTTAGCAAACAAGGGACATATGGTGTGAGTGATTCAGAGCTTCTGAACTTATCCCTCTTCCTCCAGGAAGTATCCTTTCCACCTTGGGGGTTACCCTCTTCTCAGGGTTAAAGCCAAAATTACTGGGGCCTCCCTGGTGACGCAAGGGGTTAAGACACAGCACTATGAAGCTATCCGCAGCCACTGCAGCGCCAGTTCGATGCCCGGCCAGGGAGGTGACCCACAGGGCACGGCAGATCTGTCCTGTCGCGCCCGCTGCTCCCCTCAGCAGTGTATTTCAGTCAGTCTGCCTGTTCTGTTCCTCACTCTGTCTCTGGTGAATACTCTTACCCCCACACACATACACCTCTGGCCCAAACCCCAGTTCTTGTATGCATAAATAAATAAATCTTTTTTTTTTTTTAAAGAAAGCCAAAGTTACTGATCTTTGAGGCTCAATGCAGCTGTGCTCTTCAGGAGGCCAAAGTCCTATCCTGGACACGCAGTGTGCTTCCTGGGCCAGCGCCCTCTCCTCTGTAGTCTCCCTGCATCCCTTGGTCTTGTCTCTGCCTCTCCTGGTTCCCCTGGAATGCTGGTGATTTTACTTCATTGTCCCTCGCTGGACCACACTGTGACCCCAGCTGTAACCAAGGTTGAGCGAGGTTTCACTCAACTGCAGGACCGAAGAGGCACATTTTGGAAGATCATCCATCACCACGTTCCAGCTCGTAGTCAGCATTAAATTCTAGGACCCTCTGTTGATTTGGACAGGATGTTACTCTTCATTAAATTGCTTCTGATGGCCATGGACACAGACTAAATCTGAGGTGAAAGGTAACTGTGTATCTGAGATGACCCTGGTGTTTGAAATTTGGACCAGAAAGTTACCCCCATTCCAATGTCCTGGAAGAAGCCATCTGGGCAGAGGCAGTGGGGTGCTGAAGGGCCAGAGTTACTCTTATCCACTTAAATGGTGATCTTGTCCATATTGGTACTGGCACCTGGCCATCGCGCCCTGGAAAAGTCCCCCAGACCAGGCGAGGGGGAGTCCTGGAGCCAGGCTCTCTCCTTCCTTTCCTCCCCAGCCACATATTCTTTTCTAGTTTCCTGCTCTGACCCTGGCAGTCTGGTCATTCATTCATACGACACAAAAATAGCAAGCTTCCAATGCATGCCAGCATTGCCTGGTGCTGAGAAAACAAGGATAAATACAATACCACTTGGCCACCAGGACAAGAGTTCTTCAGGATCCCCTGAAGAAATACCTGATCAACTTTTTGAGCCCTCTTTTGGATCAGACTGAAATGACTGAAAACAAAACTCTAGATTCCTCTCCCACTATCCTGCTCCTCCCCGACTTTCTCAACTTGAGTGGCATCATTTGCCATTTCTCATCATTCATCCAGTTGTTCAGACCCAGACCACCCTTCTTTCCCTTGCCTTGTGCATGTGATCCATGAGCAAGTCCTGGTAGGTTCTACCTCCAAATGAGAGTACATCTCAGATCAGTTCACATGTCTCCTCCCTCCATATCCCCCACACCTACACCCCACCCCTTGGCAGTGGCTCCTAACTGGTCCCCTATTATCCCCATTCTCCAGCTCTAGATGACAGCAGAGTGAATGCTGTAAAGTCCCAATCACCTCCTGCCACTCTCCCTTCACAATCTTACAGGGACCTCTACGCATAGCAAGACCTGCCCACCTAACCTGCCTTCAGACCCTCCAATCCTAGTTGCACTGACTGACATTTGGAAAACATCCTGTGCCGTTCCCACCACAAGCCTTCATAGTTTCCCTTCATAGTCTTGGCCTCTCTGCTGCTTCCTTGTCTGACTGTCTCTTCCTGTCATTCACACCTCAGCTCAATGTCAGCTCCTCAGGGAGGCTTTCCTGGCCAGCCCATGGGATTGCCAGCAAAAAGAGTGTCAGGTGAGTGATGAGAGATTTGGCACTTTCAGCCCTACCCCTGACCTCCAGGGAGGGGTGGAGTCTGAAGAGTGGATCTTCAGAACTCTTGAACAATGAGATTTTTCAGAGGTTCTGGTTTGATGAACATGTGGAAGTGCTGGGAGCACCCAGAAAGAGGATGGAAACTGTGAACTTGTGCCCATGCCTTGCTCTATGCATCAGGTTCATTTGGCTATTTCTGGGTGTATCCTTTATAATAAACCCTTGACTGTAAGCAAAGTGTGTCCCTGAGTTCTGAGTCATTTCAGCAAATTGTTCAACCAGAGGTGGGTGTGGGGAACCCCCAAATTTATAACTGGTCAGAAGCATAGTTGGGCCCTGAACTTACAACTAGCATGTGATGTGGGACTATCCTGTGGGATTGATTGCTTAGCCTATAGGGTCTCACTCTGGGAATTAGAGTCAGAACATAATGGAATTGCATTGCTGGACACCTTGTTGGTGTTAGAGAACTGGTGGTGGTGCTGGAAAACAGTATATTCGTGTCACAAGAAAATCTTCACATCTACCCCACAAGGTTGTGGTGAGTTAGCACTTGAAACAGTGCCTGCTGCACAGAAAGTTCTCAATATATGTTAGCTGTACCTTATATTATGTGCAAAATGCCAGGACTGGAGGAAGAAAAAGGAGGGTGTTGATAATCAATAAGTTGAGGATTCACTGAGGACTCACTATAACCCAAGGAGGCCTCAAAAGATTTGGCCTTCAAACATGCTCTTAAGAAGTGCATACTGCTTGGAATCACCACACACCTCACACCCACTCACACCCACATCCACACCTAACCCATCCCCCACACACCATATCCTATCCCACACCCACACTCCCACTGACCATGAAGCACCATGCTAGACAAAAAGGGTTAGATCTTGACTAATGATTATCTTGCAAATTTCCTGGAAGGTCAAGTCTCACATCCATGTAGTTGGAATGTAACCCGTATGCACGTGCCAGGTATAGCCCAGCCTGGAACAAGCTATGACACTACTCTCCTCCTCCCCACCTCACAGACTTATCCTTTAAATATCACCTTCTGGGCCTTACTGGTGGTGCAAGGGGTTAAGCACCACACTATGAAGCTATCCACAGCCTCTGCAGCGCAAGTTCGATCCCTGGCCGCCCAGGGAGCTACCCACATGGTACAGCAGACCTCTCCTGTCTCGCCCGCTGCTCCCCTCAGCAGTGTATTTCAGTCAATCTGCCTGTTCTGCTCCCCACTCTGTCTCTGGTGAATCCTCTCATCCCCCACACCTCTTGCCTATACACCAGTTCTTGTATGCATGAATAAATGCATCTTAAAAAAAAAAATATATATATATATCAACTCCTCACTCCCTTCTAGGAGCCAGGCTAATTTTTTCTGGCACTGGCTCCCTCATGCATGAGTCTCTCTAATAAAGCCTTACCTGGTTCAACTACACTCCATGCTCGCTGGTAAATTCCTTCCCTAGAGGGCAAATTCTTTCCCATTCTTTTGGGTTAGGGCCTGACACACACACACACACACACACACACACACACTCTCTCTCTCTCTCTCTCTCTCTCTCTCTCTATCTCTCTCTCTCTCTCTCTCTCTCTCTCTCTCTCATTCACTTTCCAGGTCAAGCCTTGAAGGTCTCTCTCAGGATGAAGTCCAGAAGCCTTAGAGAAGACTCCTGAGGGTGGAAGAACTTGGCTTTTAAAGGCAGGTAAGTGTAGGGTGTGGGGGTGGGGCAGGGAAAGGGAAGAATGAGTTCCCAAAAGAATTGCTGGCCTGAGAATTTGAGGTATCCTGACAGTGAGGTTTCAGGGGAGAGTTTAAGCGGCAAAACTATGGCAGGCAGAGGATCCTTAGGACAGAAGGGAGGCACAGGTATTGAGTGGTGACTCCACACCTAGACTTCAGGGGACTGAAGGGATGGGATGGGTAGAAGGGGGGCAGGGGTGCCTTCTGATCATAGTCTGGCTTTCCAGCCCAGCGGGGAAGGAGGGCTCAGGGCCCCAGGCCATCTGCTGGGTTGTTTGGGGCTCTACAAGGGCAACTGGAAGAAACAGGTCCAGGAGGAGATGGCTGTGCCCCCAGAAGAGCAGCCACTTCCCAGAGGCTCCCACCCTGACTCCCGTCCACCATGGTGCCAAGGGAAGGAAGCAGCAGGCATAAAAGGAACATCCTCCCACATCCTCGGGCCATGGAAGTGCTAAGTGTTACTGTCATCATCATCATCATCATCAGCTCTATTGCCAGCTTGAAATGTCTCATTCACACAGCCGGTGTTGAGTTCATAAAAGGTTTTCCTTTGGGTTAAGTAAACAATTGTTAAAACACTAAGCTCTTCCCAGGTAAAGAGGGTATCTGAGGCACATGAGCATGAAGGGAACATGATGGAGTGGGGGAATGCCCAGAATGGGGAAATTAGAAGTCTTCAGCCCATTTTGTAATGTCTAGTTTCTCCCCTAATGTTGGTTCCCAGCAAGTCACCCACCTCCCCCATCCCTCCCTGCAGGCTCCCTTAGGCCCAACAGCCCCCTGAGCCACTTCCTATTACTTGAATGCCCCTCCCTCCTGTTTCTCTGCTCTTTTTCCATAATCCACCGAAAGTGCCTAATGAATCTGGACTTAGGCCCAACTCTCCACCACAGTTGGGCTCACACCCCCAGAGGTTTCTGAGGGCCCAGTGGTGGGGGGTATAGAAAGGCCTGGCCCTGCACTTTTACCTGGGTCTCAGAGAGGTTCAGGTGGCGGGCCAGCTCAGTGCGCTCGCGGCCCACCACGTACTGGCAACGCTGGAACTCCATCTCCAGGCGGTACAGCTGCTCCGCCGTGAAGGACGTGCGGGTCCGCTTGGGCCGGTCCAGGTCGAGGCCCTTGGGCAGGACAATTTCCCGGATGGTGCCTTTGGCATCTGCAGAGACCATGAAATATGGCAGGTGCATTGATTAGTTAAGGAGTTAGCAACAAGGGTCTTTGTAAGAGGCACAGTGATCTCCAAGGGATCTCTTCGGCCTTGTGCTGCTCACTCTCTCTAGGCCTTCCTTACTCACCCAGTGGAGTATGTTGTAGCAAACACTGTACATTTATGCCTTAGTGCAAATGCCAGCTCTACCATTATGGCCTGGGCAAAAGAACTCCCTCTGACCCAGCCAGGAATCTGCTCCCTCAGTGGATTAAGGAACAAATGGAGATATACTGAGTTCTCGAGTGCAGAGGAGAGATTAAAATTTGGTATAATCAATCAGATAAAGCTTAGTGAAGGTGATGTCCAGAGGTCCGAAGCCCCGGGTGTGTGTGTGGGGGGGGGGGGGCAGGAGGGGATACCTGCCCACAGACCTCCCTGGGGTTCACAGAGAAGCTAGCTGGTATGGGGTTCAGAGTGGCTTGAGGTGATGGGGCCCCCAAGAGGAACACCAAAGGCCAATTCCATAGCATCAAGTTGTTGGGGAGCTTTCCAGCAAGGTAAACCCCATGTAACTAGTCCTGAACAGCAGGCAACCCTCCCTTGAAAGCCTTTCATGCTCAGGCACCCACTATTTCGGGGAGCCTACTTAAGAGAAGTTGGAAACCCTGCAGCTCACGTTCACCATATAGTCCCACTTAAATCAGTAACAGCAACAAAGTATTCTGCAAAACCAAAATATTTGGGGCAGGGGGAGAGCTTATATATATATTAACTGTAGGGGAAAGGTGCTCCATATTTGAACCATACACACTTATGGCTTGAAATCTAGCTATTAGAAAACACTGTGTCAAAAATTAGACTATGGAAATATGCAACATCATATTCTGTAGGATTTTTCAAACCACTCCCCACACATGATGTCAGTCATAGTGAAAATAAATGAACAGTAATTTACCATTATATGGAAGGAACAGTGTCAATAAAAAACCTACCAACTCGATTGGGAGGGGTGGGAGGTGGCATGAAAAAAATAAGGAAAATAAGAAAACTTACAGACTCAAGGCAGCCCTTAGCACAAGCCCTCTTAGGGTGCAGGAATTCCAGAGCCCTCTAGGGGGCGCGCGCAGTTGGCGTTTGCAATGTAGCCACAGGTTTTAGAGGCTATTGCTGCTCTGATTTTCGGAATAATAGCTGACTCCTCTGCTATGCTTGCTCTGGCTCAGACACTGTTTTTTTTTTTTTTTTTTTTTAAATAAAAAATTTTATTTTTATATTCCCCATACATTTGCATTCCCCCCATTCTGACCCCAATCCCTCCCCTCCCGCCCCCCACTCCCCAAAAAGTGTCTCTGGTTCATAGTTTTTTGTTGATTTTGATTTTCACTTTCTTATAGTTATTCATTTTCCTGGTCCCTTATTTAAGTTCTCTAGATTCCTGCTATGAGTGAGACCATCCGGTATTTTTCTTTTTCTTTCTAGCTTATTTCGCTGAGCATGATCCCTTCCAGCGCCATCCATGTTGCTGCAAATTGCATGTGTTTATCTTTTTTGAATGCTGAGTAATATTCCATGGTATATATGTGCCACATCTTCTTGATCCAGTCATCTATTTTTGGGCATTTGGGTTGTTTCCAAAGCTTAGCTATTGTAAACAGTGCTGCTATAAACATAGGGGTGCAGGTGTTCTTTGGAATTGATGTTTCTGTGTCCTTTGGGTAAATACCTAGGAGTGGAATTGCTGGATCATATGGAAGCTCTATGCTTAGTAGGTCCAGAAATCTCCACACAGCTCTCCATAGTGGTTGGACCAGTTTGCACTCCCACCAACAGTGCAGAAGAGTTCCTTTTTCTCCACACCCTCGCCAACATTTGTTGTTGCTAGTTTTTTTAATATGTGCCATTCTCACTGGTGTAAGATGGTTTCTCAGGGTAGTTTTGATTTGTATTTCCCTGATGACAAGTGATGTTGAACATTTTTTCACATGCCTGTTGGCCATTTGCATTTCCTCTTCAGAGAAGTTTCTTTTTAGCTCTTCTGCCCATTTTTTGACTGGATTATTTTCTTTGTTGTTGTTGAGTCTCATCAGCTTTTTGCAGATTTTTGTGATCAGTCCTTTATCATTAGTGTTGTGTGCAAAAATGTTCTCCCAGTTGGTGGGGTTTCTCTTTGTTTTTGTTATTGTCTCTTTTGCTGTGCAGAAGCTCTTTAATTTGATGTAGTCCCAGCTGTTGATCTTTGCCTTCACTATCACTGCTTTGGGCGATGTGTCTGTAAAGATGTCTTTGATGTGCATATCATGTAGTGTTTCGCCTTTATTTCCTTCTATGTATTTTATGGTTTCAGGTCTTATGTCTAGTTCTTTAATCCATTTTGAGTTGATTTTTGTGTATGGTGTGAGGTAGTGGTCAAGCTTCATTCTTTTGCATGTAGCGACCCAGTTTTCCCAGCACCATTTATTGAACAGACTTTCTTTGCTCCAATGCATAGTCTTTACTCCTTTGTCAAAGATTAGTTGATCATAAATCTGTGGGTTTATTTCTGGATTTTCTATTCGATTCCATTGGTCTATATGTCTGTTCTTGTTCCAATACTATGCAGTTTTGATGATTATGGCTTTGTAGTATAGTTTGAAGTCTGGGAGTGTGATGCCTCCATTCCCTTCTTTTTTTTTTCAGGAGAGCTTTGGCTATTCGGGGTTTTTGGTGATTCCATATGAATTTCATCAATAATTGTTCTATTTCTTTGAAGAATGACTTTGAAATTTTGATTGGAATAGCATTGAATCTGTATATTGCTTTTGGTAGGATGTCTGGCTCAGACACTGTTATAAGCTCTTGAACCCTCCCAGATATCATGGTGTTGGAGCTAATATTTTGCTCATTTTACACACAAGAAAATGGAGGAACACATTTTGAGTAACTTACCCAAGGTCACACTGGTGTTCAATAAACTCTAGAAACACCCTCATTTCACTTAATCAATGCTACTATTTAGTAATCTTAATGAATCAGTTGATAGATTTTAATGAAGAGGGCTTTGGTCATGGGTAGCAAATGAATCTTCAGGACAGGCTCATCACTGGCCTGGAAGATGTAGGAAAGGAGCTGCCTTTGGGGTGTACTGTCTGCTCGGAGGCTCCTTGGGAGCCATAAGAATGTCATCCTACATTTGGAATCCCAGCCCTAGAGGTAAACCTCCAAATCTCCCCCCTATGTTTTGTGATACCAGTGCTTCCTGGCTCCTGCTCACTCCTCCAGAACGTACCCCAGCTCCTCAGGGGCTCCTGGCTTACAGGTCCTGCCTCTGATCTCGAGTTACTCTAGCAACTTCACCTCTGAAGTTAGTCCTCAGGGAGAAGGTGGCTTTGGGCTGGGGGATACGGTGCCTGCTCAGAGCTGGCTCTCCCTTCATGGGGCTGGTCTCTCAAGGCTGTGTGCAGAGCAAATCAAAGAGATGTGGGCCCTGCTCTTGGTTGGTGGGAACCATAGGCCTTTGAGGTCAATACAAGCTTCCCCACCTCCAATGCCTTCCATGATGCGAAAAGGTGGGGTAATATTTGCGACCCTCTTATGACTGGGTCACAATTTCCAAGTGTGAAATTAGTCTCAGAATTTCTTCATGACACTCAAGTGACTTCATCTCCAAAGGCATTGATCTTATGGAAATGTCTTGAAGGATGGGGACTAGCAGAAGGATAGTGGGTGTCTTAAAGTGTCTGAAGCTTCATATCTTTCCCCTTAGAAGTCCCTAGAATCTACCCGAGACTTTGAGCTGATGTCCTAGCCACTGAGATCAAACCATAGTGCCCTGCCCCATTTCCTTTTGGTTGGGACGCTGAGAGGAGCTCCCCCAGCTCAGGGAGTAGTCAAGGTCAGTCTCTTTCTTGGGGTCAGGGGAGGCGAGAGACTTGTAAGAAGAGAAACCTCAGGTTTGCCTGCCAGATAACATAATGTGCCATACAAATAAGCACATGAGATGTTCCACATCACCAGCCACTGAGGAAAGGCAAATGAAAACCCTGAGACACACTTGTTAGAATAGCTAAAATAAAAATTACTGAGGGTGTCAAAAGCTGGTGAAGATGTGGAGAAGTGAGAACTCTCATATATTGCTGGTGGGAGTGGAAAATGGCACAGCCACTTTGGAAATGGCCTGGCAGTTTCTTAAAGAGTCGAACATAAGGTTACCATGGAACCCAGTGGCTGCACTCCTGGGCATGTACCCTAGAGAAATGAGACCTTAGTGTTTTCATATGTACAAGCGTTCATAGCAGCTTTATTTATAATATTCCAAATCCTGATGTCCTTCAACAGCTGAATGGTTAACCAAACTGGTACAACTATGAAATGGGATACAACTCAGCATAAAAAGGAATGACACTGCAATATTAATAAATGAATGATTGAATGAATAAGGAATGACTTTGCTCCCCCTGTATAGTTAAATTAACTTTTAGTAGAGTGTGCTTAAAATACAGATATTGTAGCGTCCTGTATCCTTTCAAAGGCATTTAATTAATTTTTACATTTTAAATAAGCCAAGTGTTAGATTAAAACAAAAGCAAAACTTTTCTGTCATCTGTTTCTACTACCTCAATCTACAGCTTGGTTCTGCTAGAACTCGAATTTTTCCTTGCAGTTATTGTGATAAAGTATGACTATTTTAAGGTCCATTGTATGTGCTTATTAAATTAACTCCTGTCTCACACCATAAATAACAATACACTTCGAAATGAGTAGAGGGCTAGTCACAGACTATAAAATAATAAAGCCATAAAAAGAAAATTCAGGAAGGTGTTTTTACAGATCTGAGGTTGGAAGCTTTCTAAGCAAGACACAAAACTGGAACCATAAAGGAGACAAAGGAGTTATTTTCCTCTATTAAAGCTAAAAATTTTTCAGTGACAAAGCACCAAAACCAAGCATACAAAACACAGAATTGAGGAAAATGCTTTTTAACAAGGCAAAGAAATAATATCTAGAAAATGTAATATGCAAATATAAAA